TTTTGCACCGTTAACGAGTTAACGGCCATTTAATATTTTAACGGGAAACAGCAAGGTGTTTCGATTTGACTGAAAATCGGTGTCCAGGGCCTTCTCGATGCGCTGATTCCGAAAATGTACCTCTTTGTGGTGGTATTTTGCACCGTTAACGAGTTAACGACCAATTAACATTTTAACGGGAAACGGCGGGGTCTTTCGATTTGGCTGAAAGTCAGTATACAGGGCCTTCTCGATGCGCTGATTTCGAAAATGTGCCTCTTTGAGGTGGTATTTTGCATCGTTAACGAGTTAATGATCCGTTAACATTTCAGCAGCATATATCGATTTCAGCAGCAAATTTTCGGGGTCTTTCGATTTGGCTTAAAATCGGTGTACAGGGTCTCTTCGATGCGCTGATTCCGAAAAGGTACCTTTTTGGGGTGGTATTTTGCACCGTTAATGAGTTAACGACCAATTAACATTTTAACGGGAGACGGCAGGGTCTTTCGATTTGGCTAAAAATCGGTATACAGGGCCTCCTCGATGCGCTGATTCCGAAAATGTGCCTCTTTGGGATGGTATTTTGCACCGTTAACGAGTTAACGACCAATTAACATTTTAACGGGAAACGGCAGGGTCTTTCGATTTGGCTGAAAATCAGTATACAGGGCCTCCTTGATGCGCTGATTCCGAAAATGTACCTCTTTGGGGTGGTATTTTGCACCGTTAACGAGTTAACGACCAATTAACATTTTAACGGGAAATGGCGGGGTCTTTCGATTTGGCTAAAAATCGGTATACAGGGCCTCATCGATGCGCTGATTCCGAAAATGTACCTCTTTGGGGTGGTATTTTGCACCGTTAACGAGTTAAGGGCCATTTAACATTTTAACGGGAAACAGCAAGGTGTTTCGATTTGACTGAAAATCGGTGTCCAGGGCCTTCTCGATGCGCTGATTCCGAAAATGTACCTCTTTGAGGTGGTATTTTTCATCGTTAACGAGTTAACGATCCGTTAACATTTCAGCAGCATATATCGATTTCAGCAGCAAATTTTCGGGGTCTTTCGATTTTGCTTAAAATCGGTGTACAGGGTCTCCTCGATGCGCTGATTCCGAAAATGTACCTCTTTGGGGTGGTATTTTGCACCGTTAACGACTTAACGACCAATTAACATTTTAACGGGAAACGGCGGGGTCTTTTGATTTGGCTGAAAATCGGTATACAGGGCCTCCTCGATGCGCTGATTCCGAAAATGTACCTCTTTGGGGTGGTATTTTGCACCGTTAACGAGTTAACGGCCAGTTAACATTTTAACGGGAAACAGCGGGGTCTTTTGATTTGGCTGAAAATCGGTGTCCAGGGCCTTCTCGATGCGCTGATTCCGAAAATGTGCCTCTTTGGGGTGGTATTTTGCACCGTTAATGAGTTAACGACCAATTAACATTTTAACGGGAAACGGCGGGGTCTTTCGATTTGGCTGAAAGTCAGTATACAGGGCCTTCTCGATGCGCTGATTTCGAAAATGTGCCTCTTTGAGGTGGTATTTTGCATCGTTAACGAGTTAATGATCCGTTAACATTTCAGCAGCATTATCGATTTCAGCAGCAAATTTTCGGGGTCTTTCGATTTGGCTTAAAATCGGTGTACAGGGTCTCTTCGATGCGCTGATTCCGAAAAGGTACCTTTTTGGGGTGGTATTTTGCACCGTTAATGAGTTAACGACCAATTAACATTTTAACGGGAAACGGCGGGGTCTTTCGATTTGGCTAAAAATCGGTATACAGGGCCTCCTCGATGCGCTGATTCCGAAAATGTGCCTCTTTGGTATGGCATTTTGCACCGTTAACGAGTTAACGACCAATTAACATTTTAACGGGAAACGGCAGGGTCTTTCGATTTAGCTGAAAATCGGTATACTGGGCCTCCTTGATGCGCTGATTCCGAAAATGTACCTCTTTGGGGTGGTATTTTGCACCGTTAACGAGTTAACGACCAATTAACATTTTAACGGGAAATGGCGGGGTCTTTCGATTTCTCTAAAAATCGGTATACAGGGCCCCATCGATGCGCTGATTCCGAAAATGTACCTCTTTGGGATGGTATTTTGCACCGTTAACGAGTTAACGACCAATTAGCATTTTAACGGGAAACGGCGGGGTCTTTCGATTTGGCTGAAAATCGGTATACAGGGCCTCCTCGATGCGCTGATTCCGAAAATGTAGCCCTTTGGGGTGGTATTTTGCACCGTTAACGAGTTAACGACCAATTAACATTTAAACGGGAAACGGCGGGGTCTTTCGATTTGGCTGAAAATCAGTATACAGGGCCTTCTCGATGCGCTGATTTCGACAATGTGCCTCTTTGGGGTGGTATTTTGCATCGTTAACGAGTTAACGATCCGTTAACATTTCAGCAGCATATATCGATTTCAGCAGCAAATTTTCGGAGTCTTTCGATTTGGCTTAAAATCGGTGTACAGGATCTCCTCGATGCGCTGATTCCGAAAAGGTACCTCTTTGGGGTGGTATTTTGCACCGTTAATGAGTTAACGACCAATTAACATTTTAACGGGAAACGGCGGGGTCTTTCGATTTGGCTACAAATCGGTATACAGGGCCTCCTTGATTCGCTGATTCCGAAAATGTACCTCTTTGGGGTGGTATTTTGCACCGTTAACGAGTTAACGACCAATTAACATTTTAACGGGAAACGGCGGGATGTTTCGATTTTTTTTTTTGGATTTTTTTGGTTGGACATTTTCGGAATCAGCGCATCGAGGAGGCCTTGTATACCGATTTTCAGCCAAATCGATAAACCCCGCCGTTTCCCGTTAAAATGTTAAATGGCCGTTAACTCGTTAACGGTGCAAAATACCACCCCAAAGAGGTGCATTTTCGGAATCAGCGCATCGAGGAGGCACTGTATACCGATTTTCAGCCAAATCGAAAGACCCCGCCGTTTCCCGTTAAAATGTTAAATGGCCGTTAACTCGTTAACGGTGCAAAATACCACCCCAAAGAGGTACATTTTCGGAATCAGCGCATCGAGGAGGCCCTGTATACCGATTTTCAGCCAAATCGAAAGACCCCAAAAATTTGCTGCTGAAATCGATATATGCTGCTGAAATGTTAACGGTTCGTTAACTCGTTAACGGTGCAAAATACCACCCCAAAGAGGCACATTTTCGAAATCAGCGCATCGAGGAGGCCCTGTATACCGATTTTCAGCGAAATCGAAAGACCCCGCCGTTTCCCGTTAAAATGTTATTTGGTCGTTAACTCGTTAACGGTGCAAAATACCACCCTAAAGAGGTACATTTTTGGAATGAACGCATCGAGGAGGCCCTGTATACCGATTTTCAGCCAAATCGAAAGACCCCGCCGTTTCCCGTTAAAATGTTAAATGGCCGTTTACTCGTTAACGGTGCAAAATACCACCCCAAAGAGGTACATTTTCGGAATCAGCGCATCGAGGAGGCCCTGTATACCGATTTTCAGCCAAATCGATAGACCCCGCCGTTTCCCGTTAAAATGTTAAATGGCCGTTAACTCGTTAACGGTGCAAAATACCACCCCAAAGAGGTGCATTTTCGGAATCAGCGCATCGAGGAGGCACTGTATACCGATTTTCAGCCAAATCGAAAGACCCCGCCGTTTCCCGTTAAAATGTTAAATGGCCGTTAACTCGTTAACGGTGCAAAATACCACCCCAAAAAAGATACATTTTCGGAATCAGCGCATCGAGGAGGCCCTGTATACTGATTTTCAGCCAAATCGAAAGACCCCGCCGTTTCCCGTTAAAATGTTAAATGGCCGTTAACTCGTTAACGGTGCAAAATACCACCCCAAAGAGGTACATTTTCGGAATCAGCGCATCGAGGAGGCCCTGTGTACCGATTTTCAGCCAAATCGAAAGACCCCGAAATATGCTGCTGTGAGGCTGATATTCGTTGCTGCTGAATTGATAGACGTTCGAAAGAGCGTCTTTTGGGAAATTCGACAAATAATGCGCATCACGGTCAAAAGCAGTGTTTAATTGTTCTTGATATCAGCTTTTCCTGCATATAAAGATCATTTTCTGCCCAATAGTGGACGAGAAAGCAGGAAATCGATGGTTACTGATTTGATGAAAGAATACGCAAAAGAAATGGCAGTGTCTACCCCGGGCAGTGTACCCATAAACGTGGTGTAGATTGTGCATGGTGCAAAGACATTGTGGTGAGGACTTTCCATTCAAGTCGCAGGTATGGGTGGTTGTTCGTGATAATATTGATTTGTCGTAAGAAGCATCTAATCTCATTCCGTGCACGTGACATGCAGGTGATCATGGTTGAATTGGATGGTAGGTAGGCATCATTCTGTCACGGGCTGATTCTCTTTCGTAAACTGATTCTCATTCGTAGACAAACGGGTCAGAAATGTGATGGAAACATTTATTTATTTCACAAACACACTCAATAGCATACATTTAAGGCACGTATACTGGATTCATTCCTTCATGCTTGTTTTAAAACGTGCTGGATAGTTTGACATGGTAATTGTCAATAGTTCTACCTTGTAAGCACTTCAACTTTGGAATGTAATCATGACTGGCATTTTGACTGATCCAATTATGATGATTGCATGGTGAAATTGTGGAGCAACTGCTTCTTGTCTGCTTCAATAGTATTTGCAGGATGCTTGCTTGCTGCTTTGGAGATCTGAAAACAGAACAAAGCACAGGTGTCAAATTTTCAATTAACATGTTTCTTTAGTAAGTTTCCCTTTCAGTCCTGTGATGCCCAGTTGCAGTTGATATTTAGTCAGTGACGGAATAAAAAAAGTGATTATTAGCAGTGAAAAATCTCACGGAACAAATCTTCCAAGTTCAAAAAAATTGAGAAAACGGCCACTTTTCTGACACTGGCCTCTCCCTTCTTCTCCTTGCCTCCCCTCACCTTCCCCTACCCTCCCATAGTGCCCACTGGCTGTCTGGCTGCGAACATGTGGTTAAGGATGATACTTGCTCCTCGACGGCAGGCGGACGGGCCGTGGCCAACTATGACTCCGTGGAGGAGGGACACAAGATCGTACAGACGGCCATCGACGAGTTCGGGCGCATCGACATCCTGATCAACAACGCCGGGTTCCTGCGCGATCGCAGCTTCGCCAAAATGGAGGAGAACGACTGGGGTAAGCGCCGGTCGGCGTTCGTTAAAAGAACTGGGGGGTTTGTTGCTCAACGTTCGATAAAGCTTATAACACCAATATTGGGGCGTTGACAACACATCAATGCAATTTAAAATGAATATTTAACGACGTAAATTAAACTTAAATGTTTTAAATATGATTCCCCATGAGCACTAAAACTTGAGAAATGAAGAGTTTTCAACGACTGAGGGGCTTGCACGTTACCATTACCACCGCGCTTTTTGATAAGGACTCTGCTGCCATCCTTCTGCTCTAGACTGGCCAGCATTTGGTTGTATTAAAGTACATTTTCACACGTGCTTCTGTCATGACCACGTAGTCGACACCTGCTTATCCCTAATTCATATACACTTTTTCAGACATGATTCACTGCGTGCACCTGCGGGGCGCGTTCGTCACCACACGTGCCGCCTGGCCCCACTTCCGGCGCCAGGAGTACGGCCGGATCGTACTGACATCCTCGGCGGCGGGACTGTTTGGCAACTTTGGACAGACCAACTACAGGTCAGTGGCAGACCAACTGCAGACTAACGAAATATGACAGAGCAACTACAGGTCATTGGCAAACAGACTACAGACCAGTTACAGACCAACTACTAACAGGCCAGTGGCAGACAACCGATAGAACAAGTACAGGTGAACGGCAGACCAACGAGAACGACAGATCAGGAACAGACCAACCACAGACCAACTATAGGTCAGTGACTGACGAACGACCGGCCAGTGGCAAGACCAGTCTCAGGTCAGTGACAGATCAGCTATAATAGTTCAGTGCTAGCCGCTCGGATTATCTCAATCGACAGGCTGGTGTGGGCTATTGACTCTTAACGTGACTCGAGGCTTTTAACTGATCGACCATGACCTTCTATTGTTCGACATTAATTACGTGAGTAGGATTGCACATTAGCAAATAATAACAGCTCCTTTCCTCCCCCTGTGCTCCTTACAGCGCCGCCAAGATGGGTTTGGTCGGCCTGGGCAAGACGCTGGCGCTGGAGGGCGAGCGGCACAACATCATCACCAACGTACTGGTCCCGGCGGCGCTGTCCCGGCTGACCGAGTCGCTGCTGCCGCCCGAGATGCAGCGCCAGATGGCGCCCGTACACGTGGCGCCGGTGGTGGCCGTGCTGTGCCACCGACGCTGCCCGGCCGCCGGCGCCGTGGTCGAGGCAGCCGGCGGAGCGGCGGCCACCTACCGCTGGCAGCGCAGCGCAGGCATCGCCGACCTGGAGCTCACCCCGGAGAAGGTGCTCGATCAGTGGGAGGCGCTCGACGCCGCCGACCCGGCCGCAGAGAGCCCAGACACGCCGGCCGCCCAGATGGCGCTGCTGTCGCGTCAGCTGACGGACGCCGCTGAGCGCGAGGCAGAGCGCCGGGAGGAGGAGGCGGCGCCGGCCGGGACCGTGGACGTGTCTCGCGCGCTGCGGACCCGTCTGCCGCCGGCGCGCTTCACGTACGGGCCGCGCGACGCGGCGCTGTACGCGCTCAGCATTGGTGTGTCGCTGGAGCAGCGGCACGGCCTGCGCTACCTGTACGAGGCGGCCGACGGGTTCGCGCCGCACCCCATGTTCGCGGCCGTGGTATTCAGCGCTCTGGATATGACGCGAATGGCCAGCCTGCCGGGATTCCCCATCGACCTGACTCAGGTGAGTGAAATGGGGAACGTTAGTCCACTGCCTCCCGGCATTCGAAATGGCTTCTTTCATAGCTGGGTTTTGAGGTAGTATGTGAATTAATGTTATGAAGGATATTGTCTGCACTCTTTCACACAGAATTTGAATACCTGCTGCTGAGTGCAGATGCCAACCGAAGATCTTGATGTGATAGCCACTGTATGAAATATATTTCATAGTGTAATAGTGATGCTCTCATATGGTGATAGCGGGTCGTGTATGTAACGTAGAACCAGGCGTGTGTCGCATTGAGGCCCTTATTGCGTCCCGATTACCCAGTGACCGTGTTCGTCCCCCGCCCTCCAGCTGCTGCATGGTGAGCAGTACATGGAGCTGAAGAAGCAGCTGCCGCCGGCCGCCGTATTGGAGATCACGGCTAACCTCGCTGACATCATCGACAAGGGCGACAAGGGAGCCATCGTCCTGCTGGACGGTCAGTGAGAGCGGCATGGGCCTCCGTCCGTCCCCGCCTGACGGGGGCGGGACGGGGGAAGGGGTCGACTCCAACCTCCATCCCCACCTGTCGAGGGGAGGGCGGGAGGGGACGTGATCGGCTGTACGGGCCGCCCACCTAAAGTTGGATGTGTTTGTTTTTGCTGTTTTATTTGTGTCATTATCTGATGCAAGAGACAAGCTGGTTAACCGCTGAAGAGCGTTCATTGTGATAGGCATGCTTTGTGTGATTATTTGATGCATCGAACAAGCTAGTAGATTGAAGAGCGTTCCATGTCATTATTTTCGATTCTCTAGCCACATGTCCAGTGTCCACTGTCCAGCCATCAACTCTTGGCCCACTTTCTGACTCCGACTTGCCACCTGACTGACTCTCTGCCTCTCTGACGTACTCTCTGACTCGTCCACAGTGCACGCGGCGGACAGCTCTGGCGACGAGGTGGCCTTCATCCAGCAGAGTCTGTTTGTGCGCGGCGCCGGCGGGTTCGGCGGCCACGCCCGCTCGCAGGTGGCCCGGCCGTGCGCCGTGGTGCCGCTCCGCGCGCCAGACGCTACGCTCTCCGTGAGCACGAACCGCGACCAGGCAGCGCTTTACCGTCTGAACGGCGACCTGAACCCGCTGCACATCGACCCCGAGTTCGCGGCGCTGGGCGGCCAGAGCCGGCCCATCCTGCACGGTCTGTGCGGCCTGGGCGCCTCCGTGCACGCCGTGCTCGAGCACTACTCGACCGACCGCGAGGAGCCGGCCCAGCTCAACAAAGTCAAGGTCAGTGCCACACACGAGGTCAAGGTCATTAAATCTGAAGTGTCAGTTCGAAAAAAAATGGGAGAAAATACGCAGGGGATACCGCTGCGATGGACTGGACAGTGGACAAATATAAACTGCATCCGTTGCAGATTGCTGTAAGCCATGGACCATGCAGTGAGTCACGTCCCTCACTCACGTCACAAGTGAGTGAGTGAGGGACGTTGGTGTGATAGTGACCCGTCCCGGCCCGTGGTTTCTTTTGTCATGATACAGTGCCCTGTCGTGTAACGGTGACCCGTTCCTGCCCGCAGGTGCGGTTCTCGCGGCCCGTGCTGTGCTGTACTGTGATTCAGTGACCGCCTCGGTCCGTCCTGTAATACAGTGCCTTTCCCTTGTCTGCAGGTGCGATTCTCGCGGCCCGTGCTGTGCTGTACTGTGATTCAGTGACCGCCCCGGTCCGTCCTGTAATACAGTGCCTTTCCGTTGTCTGCAGGTGCGATTCTCGCGGCCCGTGCTGCCCGGTCAGACGCTCCTGGTCGATACCTGGCGGGAGCCCGGCTCGGCGCGGGTCGTGTTCCAGAGTCGGGTCAAGGAGACGGGGCAACTGGCGCTCGCAGGTAACTATCCGCCGTACAACACGACACACCCTAAAATATTCCTCGGTAGAAATGCCTGATTGTGAATTTAATTATTAGGTTTCTTATGACACTATGACAGTCCATTCATAATTTCTGCTACTTTCCATGTACAAGCGTGTTTTCTCTGTCCAGCTTTGGCATTCTGCAGGTGAAGCCTGTTGTTTGTTTTTGGCCCGTCACTTGCCTGTTCTCTGTAGGATTTCGGCAATCTGTGCGGTCTTTCTGACTCATGATGGCTGTGTTTGTCAGGAGGATACCTGGAGCTGCGGGATCTGGATGCCGGGGTGCGTGCAAAGCTGTAGCTGCGTCAGCCGATCGGCCCGGGACGGATTCAGGTCCAGTAGGGGGGTGACAGTCGCTCTGGTCAAACCAGCCGCTCCCCGCAGATTCTCCCGGCCTGCTGGGGGAGGGGTGGCACCCAAAGTCCACAGAATTTTAGCTTGGAAGCTCAACTCTGTCGTGAATCAGGGGACACGGCTAGGGGATGGAAGACCCAAATGGTAGCGTCGCAGTCACTGAAGATGGTAGACTTTGGTCGGTGTAGATTACTGTGACACCGACAATAATGTCACGTTAATGACAGCGGGAGGATACGTACAACAGCTTAAGATAGACATCTGAGATTTGCATCCCCCGTAAGGTAGAAATATGGCGGTCCAATAGATCCACAGGGGCTTACAATGCTTATGTGGGTAATGTTTATAATTGATGGTGTTGATGGTGATGATATAAGGCCTTGGGGCTGGTTTCGTGATAATTAGCCAATCTGTCGACTACGGAATGGCGCCTGACAAAGGAGCTTTGGCGATAGGGGCAATATGTACCTTTTTATCAACACAGTTGAATTCAACACAGCGCGTTGAATCGAATATATATCGGCAAACACGGATGTTTGATGTGTATTTGTTACCACTCGGGCGCTTCCCGAACAAGCTTACCTACTTGTCTTCCATCGGGTAAGACGGCACTCGTCTCTCGCGATCTAAGTTTGGTGTGGAATTAAAACCAAAATGCGATTGATTTTAGGCTTTTTAGTCCTCTTCGGCCGAGGGAAATGGCGTTAACGCATCCCCCGACAGTTTTTGTTGTGATTTCTTGGAACGCACTGGCCATAGAGAGCTGAAAGTTGGCACACATGACCATTGCTTCCAGCCGGATTTTTAACAGAAACTGCATTTTCAGGTCAGGTCAAGTCCCTGACCTAAGGCATCATAAGTGAACGGCTGCACGGCCTGAAAATGTCGAAACTTCTTAACGACTTCAGTACTTCAGTGCTATGTGATTCGGGGAGGGAGGGAGATGAAGCTTACAGGATTTAATAATCTCCCAAATCCTCACAACTCTTATACCGCCCTTTCAAGTTCAGCGAAGGCCAACCCGGCAATACTCAATACAGATGGTGTATGGCTGTATGCGCGCTCTTTAAATTATATGTGTAATTAAAGTGTGAGCTTAATTTGTGCGTGAGGGAGTCGGTATGTGCTGTAAATTGTACATCTGCATGTATGGAGATTGGAGGCATAGGGGAGAGAGGTCATATTGCGCCACCTTAACCCGGCAGGCGGTGGGCCTACCAGCCACCTTCCGCGCGGTGGGGGGGGGGGCATTTTTTGCCCCCCCCCCGTATCTCCGAAACTACTGGACGGATCCGGAAAATTCAAACGGCGTTCGATAGCCCTGTCAAATTTGTTGAGGGAAACCAAATTTCATTGACCTCGGGGTCACCGATGACGTCACAGGTCAGGTCAAAGATAAAATGTTTCACCGTTCACGGGGCCTCTAGGGAAAGTGCTATAACACCGAGTAAAACGCATTTTGTCGAAAATCAGCGATGAGGCGTCAGTTGTCTAGTACATATGTTGCTATTAGAGGTCACCGGTCATACCAGGTCAGGTCACAGGTCAGGTCACCAAGGGTCACCACATGAGCCCAACTTTACTAAGGTTATGCGATGCATGTTTTATGGCCAGTTTTTCATTTCCAACTCAATGGTGTTGGTTATAAGACCATCAGGTACGGTTTAGGTCACTTTCTGGTGGAGGTCAGGTCAAGGTCAGGTAAAAAAAGGTCAAATTTCAAAATTGATATTTTTGCATAAAATGGGTATCGATTCGATGCAGCTCGTCACGGGGAGTCTAATGGTGGTCTTTGTTTTGCGCTACGAGGTCTAGAATTGCTAAAAATTGAGTTTGAAAATTTGACGTTATCAATTTTGAACAGTTTTTTCGCTATAACTTGGCCAAAAAAGAGGTATCGATCTCAAATTTGGTATTTAGATAGAAGGCGGTAGGGACTATCACATATATTCCGGTTTTTTTCGAAATTCAAAAAACTTTTTGGATTTTTTTGGCTATGATATTCAAAAAATCTATTTTTTTATTTTTGGGGGGTCAAAATCCAAAAAAAAATCGAAAAACCGAAATAGCAGTTTTGTAGCCCTTTTGATTCCACACCTTTTATGTCCGAAACATTTTTCTGTATCTCTAAAGCTGTAGGCCTGACAGCTCTTGCCGCGAAACCTTTTTTTGGGTCGAAAATGGCAAAAATGACGTCACTCTGACGTCATTAGCGGCCAACCTATCATAGCCTTTGGAAAAATTTTTGGTCACCATGTGCGCTAGCTGCTCCCGGGAGGGTACTGAAAGTTTGGTGACGATCGGCGCAGCGGTTCTCGAGATATATTGAAAAAACTAAAGGGGGGGGGGCAAAAAATGCCCCCCACCGCCTGGAAGGTTAAGGATATCGGCCTATTGCGGCTAAAGTTGACCAGCTGTCGTGCTTGATGATATCTCAAATTGTACCACAGTTATTTTGGCATTAAATAACAACTCCCAATTTGCATCACACCCAGAAAAATTAACAAGAGAAAAGTTTTCCGACACACCTGCAAGGGCGCATTTACGGACTCCCCATCAAAAAACGCCCATGCCTCTCATGTAAAAGCGCCCTATTAAAAACAACGGTTTGCCACATAACTAAGTAGCCTATCTGAACGTGTCAGCCCATTAACCATTTATGCTGTGAAGGCGAAGGTAATGGTAAGATGAGCGCTCTAATGATCAAAGTGTTCAATGAAATGTCTCCCAACCACCAGATGCCGTTTCTCTGGGTCGAAGAATAGGGCGCAAATAGGTGGGCGCAATTACGAATGGAACACATTTTTCATGAGCTTGAAATATGGCGGTGACAGCGAAGCCACAGTGGTAATAAGCTTTCAGAACTGCCATTAAACGAACAATTAACATGCTAATTAGTTGATCACTATCTCTAAGATTAACCATGACACTAGCAAAGGGGAATAGACTGTTTCGCGTAAGAAAATGGAAAAAATAAAATAAAAAATGGTCTGC